AACACCTATGACCACCGCACCACACATACATGTCTTGACTCAAGTATTTTCCCCCTCTTTCTTTTATAGAGTTTTCTTTTAATATACAGAAAACTTGAGTGGCCAAAACACTTGTCTTGCCTGAAGTCCCCCACCCCCACTTTTTCCTTTCTCTTCTAGAGTCTTTTAGTACATGAAAAACTTGTAATTAAAATAAACGAAAAGAAAAGGCTTGTATGGTGTGTTGTGTACATTTGGGTTGGTTAATAAAGATCTATTCTGTGGAGGATTTTAACCTTTTCCACTTTAACTTGAGAGAGGAAGAGCAAAAAGGTAAGCAAAGAAATCTGTCTCTTCACAGACAATGTGCTGAAGTGTAAACAAGTATGTAATTGTGTATACTTTGGTTTAAAGGTAAGCGGAGCAGACAAATACACCAGTCTATTAGGTGACCGGGGGCATAGAACTGAGGTATATAAAGGCATATAAAGGCATATAGTTTGGTAAAGAAGTATATCGCTTGTTATACATTTGTATAGTTTGATATAAAGGTATATTGTTTGGTATAAAGGTATATAATAATAATAATAATAATCATCATCATCATCATCATCATCAAAGCCAGAATTGAAAAGTCGGCAACAGATCCCAAATGTAGACTCTGCAAGGAAGCAGATGAAACAATAGATCACATCCTCAGCTGCTGCAAGATCGTGCATACAGACTACAAGCAGAGGCATAACACTGTTGCTCAGATGATTAATTGGAACTTGTGCCACAAATACCATCTGCCTGCGACAAAGGACTGGTGGGATCACAAGCCTGAAAAAGTTACAGAAAATAAACACGTCAAACTACTCTAGGATTTCCTAATTCAGACTGACAGAGTTTTGGAGCACAATACTCCTGACCTCATGATCGTGTTAAAAAACAAAGTATGAATTGTTTATGTTGCAATCCCAGGTGACAGCAGGATTGAAGAGAAACAACTGGAAAAGCTGACATGATATGAGGATTTAAAGATCGAACTGCAAAGACTCTGGCACAAGCCAGTCAAGGTGGTCCCAGTGGTGATCGGCACACTGGGTGCAGTGCCTAAAGACCTTGGCCTGCACTTAAACACAATTGGCGCTGACAAAATTACCATCTGCCATCTGCAGAAGGCCACCTTACTGGGATCTGCACGCATTCTTCACCAATACAGCACACAGTCCTAGACACTTGGGAAGTGTCCGATGTGTGAACCAGTACAACAGCCAGCAGAGTGATCTTGTCTGCTGTGGACTCATCTTGTTGTGTTTCTAATAATAATAATAATAATAATAATAATAATAATAATAATAATAATTCTTACCAGTTTCTCCTCACAGCTCAAGGCAGGTCACAACATTGCTAAAACACATAATCAAAACACACAATCATTTAAAAACACTCCGCAAAATTTATTATTATTATTATTTATTTATTTATTTATTATTTATTAGACATAGAGTGGAAGTTCAAAGTATCGCTTGGTATAATGATGTATAAAGGTGTGCAATTTGGTGCAGAAGTATATAAAGGTGTATAATTTGACATAAAGGTGTGTAAAGGTAAGTTGACTGGCCAAACACACCTGTTGCTCTTTACAGGTTACTGGAGGTGGGGCACTGAAGTGTATAAAGATATATAAAGGCATATAGTTCAGTGGTAGGTATATAAAGATGTATAGTTTGGTATAAAGCTATATCGTTTGGAATAAAGTCATATAAAGATATATAGTTTGGTATAAAGGTGTAAACTGAGCAGCCAAACACACCTATTGCTCTTCACAGGTGACTGGAGGCAAGATAGATGTATAGTTTGGTATAAAGGTATATAAAGGTGTACAATTCAGTGTAGAGGTATATAATGGTGTATCACTTGGCATAAAGGTGTGTGAAAGGAAGCTGAGCGACCAAATACACTTGTTATGGGCCATTACAGAAGAAGTTGACACTCTGTTTTCGCAACCAATGTCTCACAGTTCTCTCATCCTGGGTACCCATCGTGCACAGATCTTCCGATAGCCAAGCAAAACAATATTGTGACCCATAAACAGCTTGTATTCTCTAATTAATCTCCTTTGGGGAAACACCTTCTGCTGTCAATGACTGCGCATTGCTTAAGTCGCATTGACCGACCGTCTGTACAGGGTCCCATACTCCGCACTTTAACAACACAACCACTTAATGCTAAGTCAGTGGTTCTCAACCTTCCTAACGCCGCGACCCCTTAATACAGTTCCTCATGTTGTGGTGACCCCCAAACATAAAATTATTTTTATTGTACTTCATAAATGTAATTTTGCTACTGTTATGAATCATAATGTAAATATCCGATATTCAGGATATATGTTCATTCACTGGACCAAATTTGGCACAAATACCCAATATGCCCAAATTTGAATACTAGTGGGGTTGGGGGGAGGGACTGGTTTTATCATTTGAGAGTTGTACTTGCTGGAATTTATAGTTCATCTGCAATCAAAGAGCATTCTGATCTCCACTAATGATGGAACTGAACCAATCTTGGCACACAGGACTCCCATGACCAACAGAAAACACTAGCAGGGTTTGGTGGGGATCTTGAGTTTGGGAGTTGTAGTTCACCTACATCTGTAGACTCAAACAATGATGGATCAGGACCAAATTTGGCACAAATACTCAATATGCCCAAATGTGAACACTAGTGGAGTTTGGGGGAAATAGACCTTCGCATTTGGGAGTTGTACTTGCCGAGATTTATAGTTCACCTACAATCAAAGAGCATTCAGAACTCCACCAACAATTGAATTGAACCAAACTTGGCACACAGAACTCCCATGACCAACAGAAAATACTGGAAGGGTTTGGTAGGCACTGACCTTGAGTTTTTGGAGTTTTAGTTCATCTACATCCAGAGAGCACTGTGGACTCAAACAATGATGGATCAGGACCAAACTTGGAACAAATACTCAATATGTCCAAATGTGAACACTGGTGGAGTTTGGGGAAAATAGACCTTAACATTTGGGAGTTGTAGCTGCTGGGATTTATAGTTCATCTACAATCAAAAAGCATTCTGAACCCCACCAACAATAGAATTGGACCTAACTTTCCACATGCAACCCAGATGACTAATAGAAAATACTGTGTTTTCTGATGGTCTTTGGTGACCCCCAGGTTGAGAAACACTGTGCTAAGGCTTCCTGCCAAAATGGAACTGTAGAGGCGAGTCTACTGAACAAGCCAGTGCCTGGCGCATACCAGCACTATCATCTGTTGAGTTGCACCAACAGATGCAACAGATGCATTGCACCACCTGACATCCACCGGGAAGTAGAAGCCAATAGTGAAAGGACCAAGGCAGCGACATCTCCAGCTCATCCCCTGTTTGGGTATCAGCCAGCACGTCAACGACTTAAATCTAGAAATAGTTTTCTAAGATCTACAGAAACACTCGCTGGAACACCTCAGCAAGTGAGAGTCCAAAAGTGGCAGGCTCAAACCCCAGCACCTCAATCCGTGGGTGATACCAGATGAGAGACTCCCTCTGGGCACACAGAGGACTGGGCAACTTGGAAGGCGCTGAACAGACTGCGCTCTGGCACCATGAGATGCAGAGCCAATCTTAAGAAATGGGGCTACAAAGTTGAATCCACAACATGCGAGTGTGGAGAAGAGCAAACCACAGACCACCTGCTTCAATGCAACCTGAGCCCTGCCACATGCACGATGGAGAACCTTCTTGCGGCAACATCAGAGGCACTCCAAGTGGCCAGATACTGGTCAAAGGACATTTAATCATCTACCAAGTTTGCAAAATTTGTGCTTTTTTTTCTTTCTCTGTTTGTTTGTTGTGTTCTGTTAGAAATGTAATACAATGGTATGGTTGCTGATGTCACGATAAATAAATAAATAAATAGGACCAAACTTGGCACAAATACTCAATATGTCCAAATGTGAACACTGGTGGAGTCTAGGGAAAATAGACTTTAACATATGGGAATTGTAGTTGCTGGGATTTATAGTTCACCTACAATCAAAGAGCATTCTGAACCCCACCAACAATAGAATGGGACCTAACTTTCCACATGCAACCCAGATGACCAATAGAAAATACTGTGTTTTCTGATGGTCTTTGGTGACCCCCAGGTTGAGAAACACTGTGCTAAAGCTTCCTGCCAAAATGGAACTGTAGAGGTGAGTCTACTGAACAAGCCAGTGCCTGGCGCATACCAGCACTGTCATCTGTTGAGTTTAGGAAGGTGGAGGCATTACTTTTCATTCAACCCTCATATAAAAGTGTAAAGTTTGGTGCAGAGTTATATAAAGATTTATAGTTTGGTATAGAGGTGTATTACTTGGTATAAAGACATATAAAAGGAGATTCCATCTGAACATGAGGAAGAACTTTCTGACTGTGAGAGCCGTTCAGCAGTGGAACTCTCTGCCCCGGAGTGTGGTGGAGGCTCCTTCTTTGGAAGCTTTTAAACAGATGCTGGATGGCCATCTGTCAGGGGTGCTTCTTGGCAGAATGGGGTTGGACTGGATGGCCCATGAGGTCTCTTCCAACTCTTTGATTCTATGATTCTATATCTCGGTATAAAGTCATATAAAGGTGTATAGTTTGTTATAAAGGTGGACAGTTCGGTGTAGAGGTATATAATGGAGTATCGGTTGGCATAAAGGTGTGTAAAGGTAAGCCAAGCAGCCAAACACACTCGTTTCCCTTCACAGATGAGGCGCTGAAAGGTCTATGGAGGTATTCCTTTGGGTGTAAAGCTGAACCGAGCGGCGAAGCACACCTGTCCCTGCTCACAGGTGAGGCGGGGCGGCGAGGCGTTTGTTTCGCCCCTCTCCATTGGCGGAGGGAGTCCCAAAGCGGCCAATGGAAGGCCGGAGCCAAACGGGGTCAGCGTCGCGCCTCTGGGCTGGCCCGGCTCGAGGAGGAGCGAAAGCAAAGGCAGGGCTTATTTTTTGTAATTGAAGTTATATACACACGACGGGACGGGCGGCAGGCCATCACAGCAACAAGAAACAGGATCCCTGCCTACCTGCTTGCCTGCCTCCCCTGCAAGGGATGGTCAAGGGCATGGAGGCGCCCGAGAACCCCAACTTCAGGCGAATGGCCATCCGGAGGAAATCCAACCCCACTCTGCACAGCGCTGCTGCGGTTTTCTCGGGCGCCCCGACACCGCCTATTCGGCCGCCAAACCTCCGGGAAACCTGCTCAAGCCCAGGTAGGAAGCCCGGGCAGTTTGGCACCACTCAATGCCATGGGGTGCTTGGAGCTGTAGATTGGCAAGCCCTTCAGCTTTCTCTTCAACTCTGGATGCATTGTACGCTATAGAGTAGGTATGAGGAAACTTGGGCCGTCCAGGGGTTTTGGACTTCAACTCCCACCATTCCTAACAGCCTCAGGCCCCTTCCTTTCCCCCCTCAGCCGCTTAAGCGGAAGGGGCCTGAGGCTGTTAGGAATGGTGGGAGTTGAAGTCCAAAACCCCTGGACGGCCCAAGTTTCCCCATGCCTGTGCTATAGAAATCGGTGCACAATGGGGGGCTTTTCCTGGCATCTACTCTGCAAGATTGTTGCAACTAGATACCACTTTTAACTGCCCTGGTTCCAGCCTGTATGGAACCCAAGGCTCTCTGATGGAGAAGTCTCCCCAAACTACACATCCTAGGATTCTATAGCATTGAGTCATAGCAGCTCATGCGTTTTAACTGCCTCATCACACTTGAGCATTTTTCCACTTCAGTCCACTATGAGGGTTAAATGAAAAGTAATGCCTCCACCTTTGTAACTCCTCAACAGAACTGGTACGCAGCAGGTACTGGCTTGTTCAGTAGACTCTCCACTACAGTTCCATTTTGGAGGGAGGCCTTAGCGTTGAATGGTTGTGTTGTTAAAGTGCGAAGTATGGAACCCTGTGCAGGCAGTCGGTCAATGCAACTTAAGCAACGTGCAGTCATTGAATTGACAGCAGAAGGTGTCACCCCAAAGGAGATTAATCAGAGAATGCAAGCTGTTTATGGTGATTGTTTTGATGTTGATGTGCATTGTTGGGCGAAAAAGTTTAAAGATGTGTAGGTGGGAACATTTTTTTTCAACTTTCGTGGGCCCCTGCACCCCTAGCCCTCTCGAATGTGGAGAGGTGATTGTATTTTATCCTTTTTCAAAAGATCACCATTTATGTATAAGTAATAATTTATGTATAAGTAATAATGACAAAGTTGAAGTACTTTGGCCACATCATGAGGAGACAGCAAAGCCTAGAGAAGACAATTATGCTGGGGAAAGTGGAAGGTAAAAGGAAGAGGGGCTGACCAAGGGCAAGATGGATGGATGGCATCCTTGAAGTGACTGGACTGAACTTGAAGGAGCTGGGGGTGGTGACGGCCGACAGGGAGCTCTGGCGTGGGCTGGTCCATGAGGTCACGAAGAGTCGGAGACGACTGAACGAATGAACAACAACAATAATGCTGAACATAGATTCATTCATGCCAAGTAGCTTCTATAACAGAACTGGAAAAGGGTCTATTTGTCTATAATTGTTGTGCAATCTTCTAAACATATACACTCAAAAGTATTATAGTGGTCACATAGACAAGCCTTACCTAGTAGGAAAGGTTTCCAGTAAGTGTTGACATATCCTTCATACCCTACCATGAGCAAACAGTGCAACAGGGAGAATGGTGCTATCTTTCAGATGCTGCTGCTTTTGTTATTGTGTGCAACTCGTCTCCAACCCATGGTGATCCTGTCACAGAACTTTCTTGGCAAGGTTTTGTCAAAGGGTATTTGCCATTGCCTTCCTCTAAGGCTGAGAAAGAGTGATTTGCCCAAAGTCATCCAGCAACTTTTCAAGATTAAGCAGGGAATTTAACCCTAGTCTCCCTAGAGTACCATGTAGAATTAATACAGTTTTGACACTATTTATTTACTTACTATATTTCTATACCGCCCTTCTCAGCCCGAGGGCGACTCAGGGCAGTTTACAAAACGGCACAGTTCGATGCCACAATAATATAAAAACAGCTAAAAGCATATAACATACATAAAATTCCATAAACAGTAAAATCAATAAAAGCATAAATCCTCCTTCAAGGCTGCAGTTAACATTGCTGGAAGAAACATTAACAATCTTAGATATGCAGATGATACCACATTGATGGCTGAAAGTGAGGATGAGCTAAGGAGGCTTACTTACTTACTTACTTACTTAGGTGATCCCTCGTTGGCTGAGTAGGATAGTCTTCCAGGATCAGTATTCTTGTGGGTCCGTAGGTGGCTGTGGAGCTAAGGAGCCTTATCACCAAGGTGAAAGAAGAAAGTGCAAAAACATAAAAAAAACCAAGATTAAGGCAACCAGATTGATTGATAACTAGCAAATAGAGGGAGAAAACATGGAGGCAGTGATAGACTTTGTATTTCTAGGCACAAGGATTACTGCAGACGCAGACTACAGCCAAGAAAATTGGAAGATGTTTGCTTCTTGGGAGGAGAACAATGACCAATCTCAATAAAATGCTGAAGAGTAGAGACATCACACTGGCAACGAAGATCCGCATAGTTAAAGCAATGGTATCCCCTGTAGCAACCTATGGATGTGAGAGCTGGACCATAAGGAAGGCTGAGCAAAGGAAGATAGACACTTTTGAACTGTGGTGTTGGAGAAAAATTCTGAGAATGCCTTGGACCGCGAGAAGATCCAACCAGTCGATACTCCAGGAAATAAAGCCCAACTGTGCACTGGAGGGAAGGATATTAGAGGCAAAGATGAAGTACTTTGGCCACATATTGAGAAAACAGGATACCTTGGAGATACCTGGGGAAAATGGAAGGAAAAAGGAAGAGGGGCCAACCAAGGGAAAGATGGATGGATGGTTTCCTTGAAGTGACTGGTTTTACCTTAAAGGAGCTGGGAGTGGCAACGACTGACAGGGAGCTCTGGCGTAGACTGGTCTAAGAGGTTACAAAGAGTCGGAAGCAACTGAATGAATAAGCAACAAAAACAAAACTGCTATGGCTCAATGCTATAGTATCCTGGGATTTATAGTTTGGTGAGGCACCAGCACTCTTGGCGAGAAAAAGCTGAAGACCTTTTAAAAGTACCTCCTAAGATTCCATAGCATTGTGCCGTGGCCATTAAAGTGGTATCAAATTGCATTACTTTCACAGTGCAACTACATCCTAATCAAACACTCAAGCCGCTGCAGCTCCCAGCATTCCTTGCCTTTGTTTACAGCAAGTAGTAGTTGTAGTTTGGCCGTACCTGGGGAGCCTAAATCCAAATTTTAAACAGTGTGTGTGCTTGCACACTGACTTCGCCACATGTAACCCATGAGCTTAAAAATATTATGTACTCAATCTCATGCTTTGGGCAAAAATCCATATGGATAGATTCCCTTTGGGTTAAAACTAATATATGCCTGTGATGTCTTGTGTTAGTCTTGTGAATGAACAGGAATTTCTCTTTCAGCCTCAGGCCTTGTTGGCAAGCTTGTTTTTGTAAACATTCAGATATCCGGCCTGTAAAGTTAAAAGTCAAAACTCCACAGATATCCAGGAGATTTTCTCACTGAAGTTTAGTGGCAGAAGAACCTAAACACCTTTTAAAAATGCAGTTCCCTAGATCAGCTTTGGCTATGCATTTATCCCATCCATATAATGCCCTTCCCCCATTGTGCTTATCTTTATCTTCACCATAATAGAATGAGGTAAGTCAGAGGCTAACTGGCCATCAAATGACTCCATGGATGCTAGAACCTGGATTTCTGAAGTTATCGTCCAATACTGGAACAATGATGGCAGTTGATTCTCAGTGTACTGTCTGAGAACTATGATCTTCACACTAAAGAAAGCTCTTTTAATCTTCAAAGGCATTTCTAACCATTACTCTTTCTAGGAACATTTGTCCGTAGTTAAAGGAGCCGTTGAATGTCCCAGCTAGTGGAAAGCAAAGTCCTTCTGATTTGATGATAAATATATATTTTTTCCAAATTGTAGAAATTTTGTGGTGGCTATCCATTAGATGAAGCTCACATATGATACCTACATTGCTTGTCTCTCAAGTGCAAAGGGAAGCACTTTCTATTCATTGTGGTTGATTTTCCCCCTGAAGCTGTAGACTGATTCAGTCCTTGGATGCCTATCCCCACCTACATGTCTTTTATACAAACTCAGCAAATCTGCAGTGGGATTCCTTTTCACATCTATGTAACATTCCATAGACTGCATGCAGCTAAATGCTATTGGCAGCTTTGGGCACAACTAGTGCAAGTAACCTTTTGCCTGGAAAGTCCTAAGATAATACTGTTTACATGCACATTTGAAGGCAAAGTACTGTGTGCTGAGTAGCAGTGAGATAAGATGCTTGTTGAGTCTTGCTCAGTTCCATTTGGAGAAGGTGAACTAGACCTTGAGGTGGTCATACAACTTAACACTATACTCTTTGGTACTACATCCATTCTTTCCTGAAAAGTAAACCCAAGCAGGCATAGCTGCAAATATTTGTAGTTCATGTTAGGCGTTTGGAAATATGCCAACTATTTAGGTTACTGCAGGAGAGTAGAGGACTTGACTACAGCAGGTCTGTTTCCATTGGGTTGGATAGTTCAGCGCATGGGGAGCTATTTTTAGAGGGGCCAGAATGACCCCATCCCTGGGTTGCTGTGAGTTTTCCAGGCTGTATGGCCATGTTCCAGAAGCATTCTCTCCTGACGTTTCACCCATATCTATGGCAGGCATCCTCAGAGGTTGTAAGGTTTGTTGGAAACAAGGCAAGTGGAAAGTAAAATGTTTCTCTGTCATTCATCAGGTGTTTCTAAACTGGCAAAGGTTGCACTTTTAAAGGCGGTGGGATTGGGATTTTAAAGCTGGCATAAAGTTTTAATACATTTTAATATTTTAATTTAATTGATACGTGTGTGTGTGTGTGTGTGTGTGTTTTTGCCTTGTTTTTGATTAACACATTTATATTGTTATCCATCTTGAGCCCTTATATTGGGGGAAGGGCAGGATAAAAAATAAAGTACATAAAGTAAAGAAAAGTTTCCTCTTTAAACATGTGTTGGTGCTGATTTATTAATTTTAGAATTAGTTCATATATTTACAGCATCCTTTTCATGATCTGTGTATAGTGAAAGGGTATAAGGATGATGACTACTGTTGTACATTCTGAGAAGGAAAAGTTGTAATATATATAAAGGGACAGCTTTGGAGGAATAATCATTGTGG